AAAACTTTTTATTTTATTCTAAAGAAAATCAAACTCTTCTGACTAAAATACCTTTTTTTAAGAAAAAAGAATTAAGGAACTCCTGATTAAAAATATTTTCGAAAAAGTATTAAGGATTTCCTGACCAAAGATTGTGAATCATTTTTGGGAAATGGTAACAAGGACTTCGTAACTAAATACCATGGTTGTTTTAATGAAACAATTTTTAAGGAATGTTTAAAGAAAGAATTGTAGAACTCTCTTAAAAACAAATGTCAAGGACATTAAAACTAAGAACCTAGGTTTGAAACTCCTTTGAATAAGGTGTTGATGTTTTCATAAATAATAGGAAACCAAGGACTTCCGACAAAAATTTTGGATTTTTTTCTGGAATACATTTCTGAAAACATGCTGACTTAAAGTCACGATTTTCTTAAGAAAATATTTTCAAGGATCTCATGATTCAACTCATGAATCTTTCGTAATAAAAAAAAAAATCTTTTAAGTTCCTTCTGAAAAATACTTGTGAATCTTTTTTAAGAAAGTAATGTCATGGACCCACGACACAAAATCGTAGAAATTTTTTAAGAAAAATTATTAATTTTTTTCGAGTACTTAAGAACTCCGATTTCAACAATTTTTATAGAAAAAATATTTAAGGATATTCTGATGACAACTCGTCGATTTTCTTTATTTTTTTATTAAGATTTTCATAGCAAAAGTCTTGGGATTTTTCAAAGATCTCCCATATTAAAAATCACAACACCTTTTTTATTTCATCTTTCCCTTAAGCCTCAAGAAAAAGGTTTTCTATCCTCTTGTCCTCTCCAAAATATTTACCTTCTCTATTCTACGTCACTGTTAATATAAAATATATTTAACAACTGCAAGACACATATTTTGGGGGCAAGGAAAGAAGTCACAAGGATATTATGTTGTGATAAGGGGAGATAACGAAAAAATGAGAATTTTAACAAAGAATTACTTTGGCACATAATATTTTGTTAAAATTATGAAAGAATATGGGTTACAGAGAATTTGGGGCACCTAACAGACACACACCCACACATCTACATGCACATACATACAACGAGTGAAACTAAATTAAAGTAAATGGAAATTAAGCAAAAAAAAAATGGAAATTCAAATACTCAAAGTAAAAACCAGTTTCTATTGCCCACAAGCATGGATTCCATTAAAATTCTGTGATTATTGACTTTTGGAAAAAAAAGATGTAAAAAAGAACTATCTTTGGCCATACAACATGTTAAACAGCAGGAGTCCTCGTTTTTGTGTGCAGTCCAAAAATGAAAAGTCCCTCATTTGTTCATTGGAAAAATCCTTTTTTTGGTACTGTGTGCCTACATCCCCCTGTTCTCAAAAAAAAAAAAAAATAATAACCTTGATGTTGCTTGTCATGGCCTTTCCCAATGATGAATTTTTCAAAGCCTTTCCCACTACAGTTGTTTTTTTCTGTGAACTAAAAAAGGATATCTAAAAGAGGACATCCATGGGCCCTAAATCCTTTTTATCTGCTCTTCGTTTTTTTTGGGGGGATTTGTGCCTTACATATTGGGTTTTTTACATGAGTGGATAAATTACTAGCTTATGTTTGTATTCTCTCCCCCACCGAACCCCTTTCTCAACATATATTCCTAATCTTTGGGGATTTGCAAGTAATTTCGAATGTCATGCAAAGAATGTGTGTAAGTTGGTTTGTTTGTCTGAATTTGTTAACCTGAATTACCATCATTTTAATTGGCTCAGTTTCAAACTGACCCAGTTGCAGATAAGGCAAACCAATGTAAATTGGAATCCCTTTAATATGATGTTACGGGAATTTGTTTCAATGACAACAATAGTGATAAGGATTCGATGAAATTAAATTAAATCTAAACAAATTAAAAAGTAGCAGTCGGTTTTGCCGACAGATTTGCACCCTCAGCTAATATTCGATTATTTAAATATATTTTGACTTCTGACTAGGTTCCGAAGGGATAGGCCAATATTGTCCATTTCGTATCGGATCAAAAAAAGTATGATATCAATATTGTGCCGTACCAGGCTTGGACTATATTGGTTACATTCTTCATTTTATATATAGGTTCCACTGACTAAAAATTTTGGATCTTTTGCGAGAACTACACATCGTGGATTTTCCAAAGGAAGATAAAAAAAAAATGTCAAGGAATTCTGAAATTCTGAAATTTTAAATCCTATGAAAAAATTCAAGGACCTGTCTACAAATCTTAGATCTTTATGGGGTGTAAATGCTAAAAATCTCCTCAATAAAAATCGTACAACATTCATATAAAAAGGGCCTCCTAACTAAAATTTTTTGGATTTTTTCTGATGAAGGTTTAAGGGCCTCCTGACAAAAACTAATGTGATTTAAAGATTCCCTGACAAAACAACTTTGAGTTTTTGAGAAAAATATTTCAAGGAAATCTTGTAAAAAACAAATTCTAGGGACCTCTTGATTAAAATTTAAGGATTTTGTAAAAATTATTTGTTTCAAGAATGTTATAAACTAAAAACTTTTTATTTTATTTTAAAGAAAATCAAACTCTTCTGACTAAAATACCTTTTTTTAAGAAAAAAAGAGTTAAGGAACTCCTGATTAAAAATATTTTGGAAAAAGTGTTAAGGATCTCCTGGCCAAATATCGTAAATCATTTTTGGGAAATGGTAACAAGGACTTCGTAACTAAATAACATGGATTTTTTCATGAAAAAATGTTTAAGGAATGTTTAAAGAAAGAATTGTAGAACTCTCTTAAAAACAAATGTCAAGGACTTTAAAACTACTAACTTAGGTTTGAAACTTCTTTGAATAAGGTGTTGATGTTGGATTCTTACTCCGCTTTCTTTGAGCGTTTTGTTTTTCAAAATTTAAAATTTATGGGGTTGGGGGGCGTATGTACCTGAAGAAAAGGTCCGATCTCTTCCATCTTTATAACATACCTTGTGTTGTTAGAAATATTGAGATGTGCCAAGTCTGAGTGGAATCTAATGTTAATGACGCGTTTTCTGAGCTTCATGGTATTCTAAATTTTTACCGTTTTGTGGGGGAGTTACCGAAAGAAATTGTCCGATATATCCCATCTTCATAGCAGATCTTGTGTTAGTAGAAATAATGGGATGTGTGAATTATGAAGAAAATCAGAAGCTTATTTCGGATTTTATAATCGTTTTGGTTATTCAAAACATTTACCCTTTGTGGGGGAGAAAGAATGTCCGATCTGCCAAGTCTAAATGGAATCGGATGTTAACTTTGCGTTTTATGAGCTTCATGGATATTCGAAATGTCGACCCTTTGGGGGGGAGGTACCAGAAGGAGTGGACCGATATATTCCGTCTTCACACTAGACCTTGCATTAAAAACATTATAGTGATGTGTGTCAGACAGCCAGACAGACTATGACAAACATTCAGACATAATTCAAATTCATTCAGACAAGTTATTGTCAAGAGGCCCTTCAATTTTTTTCTTAAGAACTAGGATAACCATTTTTAATCTAAGGTCCTTGAAAACTTTTTTAAGTCATTCAAGTCATCATTTTTTAATGTCCGCTAGTTTTAAAATCTTTGAGACTGTTTCTTTCAAAATTCATAATTATTGATAAAAGAAAAAGTTTATATTTAAAAAATCAAAAGATTCGGTCATAAGGTCCTTGATCAATTTTAAAATCCACGATTTATAGTCATGAGGTCCTGTGAAAGCGTAAAATTTTCACTCAGGTCGTTCTTAAAATTTTTTCTTAAAATAATCCTTGATTTTTATTCGTTGCCTTACAATAATTCCTTGGTCCTTGAGACCCCACTTTATTTAAAATCTATGATTTTTTGTAAGAGGTGAGTGATTGATTTTAAAATCTGCAGTTAGAAGTTATGGAGTCCCTTTTTATGATCCAAGATTTTCAATCATAAAATCCTTAAAATTTGTCCTAAAAATCCAAGATATCCATTTAGGAGGTCCATTATTTTTTTAAATCAAATATTCAGATTTTTTTGCAAAATTTTCCTATAAAAAGGAGACTTTAAGTCAGGAAGTTTTCTTAAAAAGTTCAAGATCTTTGACATTTTTTTCGCAAAAAATATACAAGATTTGTAACCTGGAGGTCCTTGACATTGTTTTAATAACATAATCTACGAGTTTTAGTTAGGAAGTCCTTGAAATTCTTTCGTAACAAATCAACAAGTCTTAGTCAAGAGGTCCTTGAACATTTTCCGTTAAAAAAAATAGTCACGATTTCAGTCAGGGACACACGAGTTGTTAAATGGATCCCTGGAATTTTGTTCTTAAAAAAATCTCTAGTTTTCGTCTAGAGATACTTGACATCTGTTTCTGTCCTAAAAATGAATTTTCGAAGGCCTGAAGAGAGATAATTATGCAAGGACCCCAACAGAAATACTAGTGGAATTTAAAGGACTTTAAGAAAATTGGTGGTGGAAATATATTTTTTAAGTATCTTTTTAAAGAAGTGCTTTAAACGAGATATTCAGGATATATAAAAAATTTTTTCGAAGGACCTAGATTTATAATTTTTTTTGTAGATATTTTTTAATTTCCCAAAGACCTCGGGGGAAATAGTTGTGTTTTTATAAAAAAAAAGTTTGAAGATCTTGTCAAATATTTTTGTATAATTTTCAAAGGACTTTAAAAGATATAGTGATGGATTTAAGGAAATAAAAATAGGCAGAAAAAAAACGTTCATTTAAAAAGAATTTATAAAAGAGAATTTTGAAGATATTTTTAAATAATTTTCGAAGAATCTCAACAGAAGTGGTCCTGGAAAAATAAAAGAAACTTGTGTTTTTTTAAATAATTTTCGAAGGATTTTGAAGGACATCAACAGCCGTGGATTTATAAAAAAAAATATTTTTTATTCAATCTGAAATATCTTAACAAAGATTACTCTTCTTTCACCAAATTCCCAGTTATCCAAAGGATTTCCCAGTCATCTTCAGTTTGCCATGATATCTCATAATGTGCGTGTGTGTGGTAAAGTATCTACTTACGTGTCTTGTCACTTTCACCTGCATTGGCCTCATCTCGAATCGCCTTGTTTCCGGAACGTTTTCTCTGATGATTTTGTGATTTCAACATTTGACGTTGTTGTTTTCCCTTGCCGCCGCCGCCACCCGCTTGTTGATCGGTGCCAGCATTTAATCCCGTTGCGAGGGAGAATTTCTTATCCAAATGTTTGCGACCACCATTCGAGGGGGATAATGATTCCGACGAGGCTTGTCTATTTTCACGTACGGCTGAATTCCTATTGGATTTTTTACCATTGCCAGTCCTTTGTCTTTTGCCTCCACCACCGCCATTGTTACTGCTGCCCGTAGCAATTACTGGTGTTGGATTTTGTTTATCTGCCGAAGCAGCAGCAGCAGCGGCACCACGTGCTGCACGCACCAAAACATCACCCGATCCCAGGGACAAAACCAATTTCGATGAGGCCAACAATGCGGGCGAATACAACGGCCCCTCGAATGCCTCGCTTGAGTGCCTCTTTCCGTGTTTAGAAGATTTTATTTTACGTTCCGTATTAAGGCTGCTGGCCGGATTTCGGTTGCTTTTGCCAGCTGAGGCTATGTTCTTCTTGGCGCCATAAATCAATGTCGGCTGAAATGCCAACATGGCCAACAAAAGCATGGATGCTATTACTAGATTCATGTTTTTTTTTTGGTTATTTTCGGGAAAATGAGTTAAATCTTCGGTTGGGCAGGCGAACAACCCAATCGCCAAACAAAAATATGGGAAAAAATTCACTACACAATGACAATGAGGATGATGATGATACTGCTGCTGGTTGCCTGACCAGCAAGTTGTTTGGTAATGGCGTAGTAAATTGTGGGTTAGCAAGTTCTTGTGGCGGGTGGAAGCTACTTCGTTTCGAGCCCCCGTTTCCTCACAACGTAATCTGGGAGCTGTGAAACTTGCCTGTGGTTATGTTTCAATGGCTGAGAGAATTGTTGGTGGCTGCTTTTTCTGTTGTCGTTGTTCGTTTTTTTGTTTTCCCAGCTAAAATGCAGTTGAGCACTGGCTATGTCACTTCTATTCCTGCTCTGGCTGAGAATATTCTAAACGCAGTTTATAACTATTTTTGTGGTTACCGACGAACGAAGGGGGGAAATATAGACCCCAAATCTGTAAAGAAACAAACAAATGGCAAAAAATGAGAACAATTTTCTAAATGTGAAATATAATCACAAAATTTTTATCCTTTAGTAACGAGAAGCAGGCAACTGGAAAATCTGAATTGCATAGACCCGAAAAATGTGCATGCAAACACACACACGCCCACCCACCCAAAGCTAACGATCCCCCCATCCACATAATTTCTATGTGTATTATTATCATTGCTACTGAATTGTTTCCAAGCCAGTTGTCGTAGGCAGATTCCAAACCAAAAGAGGAAAAAAAATACACGAAATGTGGGTATTTCAATGTGCCCAGAACTAGAACATTTGGATTGGAATATATTTTAATTATTTTAAATTGCTTGCCAAAGCCGTGCCAAAATTCTTGTGAAATATGTCACGAAAACATATGCAACGGAATGTGGCAGGGGACGGTGGGACGAATTAAATAAGTGGTACATATATTTTCCAACTTTTCATAGTTTTGTCCACCGGATCGTATAAGTGTTGATAACAGCCATACGCTTCTTGTTTTTATACCCTCAGCCATATGGCTAGAGAGGGTATATATATCAGTTGATACGGCTAAAACGTGCCTTATCGAAATAAAGGTTTTAGACCCTAGGTCTCTTTGGACCAAATCCGTTTCCGGACATTTGGAGTCGATCTAGCGATATCCGTCCGTCTGTCTGGCTGATGCGGGCGATAACTCTCGAAGGGAGTATTCGATTTGGTCCAAACTTGGTACATCGTAATATTATTTTCAAACTTAGATCAAGTTCGGAGATGGGCAATATCGGTCCACTCCTTCTGGTACCTTCCCCACAAAAGGCCGAAATTTTCAAAAAAATATTTTACTACACACAAAGAGAAAGGATAATCCGATTTGGCTCCAACTTTGCAAATCCTTCTATTAGCATCAGTGGTAGGCAAGTACCTCCCCCACAAATGTTTCAAAATTAAAAAAAAATAACAACTCTTATAAAATGTGATGAAAGCATCGGATTGTCTTCTAATTTAATACATCTCAATATTTTTATTAACACGAAATCTGCTGCGAAGATGGTAGACATCGGCCCACCCTTTGTGGTACCTCCCCCACAAAGGCTTAGAACGATCATAAAATGCGAACTGAGCATCTATTTCTCTTCAATTGCCACACAACCCAATATTTCTAATTAAATTAATTAAAACAAGGAAAAAAGGTGTAAGTTCGACCGGGCCGAACTTTGAAAACTCTCCATCATTTGAAAAGAATTTGGCATTTTTCAAAAAAAAAATAAATAAATAAATAAATAAATAAATAAAATAAAATCCGTTAAAAAATTCTTTAAAAATCTTAAAAATATCAAATGTAGCCTTTATATTAGGATCTATATTACAATGTTCAAATGCGAAACTTGAAAAAAATATTCGTTGAATAATGTAGCTAAAATCATCAAAATAACGAATATAGAGAGGTACCGTTATATGGGGACTATACAAAAACGTGGACCTGCACAGACAAATTTCTGTCATAGTCTGTAGTATCCATTACGAATTTCAAATACCAAATTTGAAACAATTCCGGTGAATAATGTCGCTAAAATGATCAAAGTTCCGAATATCGGGAAGTACCGTTATATGGGGGCTATACGAAGACGTGGACCCGCGCAGGCAATTTTCTGTCTTAGACTGTGGTATCCATTAAGAACTCCAAATACCAAATTTGAAACAATTCCGGTGAATAATGTCGCTAAAATGATCAAAATTCCGAATATCGGGAGGTACCGTTATATGGGGGCTATACGAAGACATGGAAATTTACTGACAAATTTCTGTCATAGCTTGTAGTATCCATTACAAACTCCAAATACCAAATTTGAAACAATTCCGGTGAATAATATCGCTAAAATTATCAAAATGCCGAATATAGAGAGGTACTATTATATGGGGGCTATATGAAGACGTGAACTTGCACCGACAATTTCCTGTCTTAGGCTGTAGTATCCATTACGAAATTCAATCACCAAATTTGAAACAATTCCGGTGAATAATGTAGCTTAAATCATCAAAATACCGAATATCGGGAGGTATCGTTATATGGGGGCTATACGAAGACGTGGACCTGCGCAGACAATTTTCTGCCTTAGACTATGGTATCCATTACGAACTTTAAATACCAAATTTGAAACAATTCCGATGAATAATGTCGCTTAAATCATCGAATTACCGAATATAGGGAAGTACCTTTATATGAGGGCTATACGAAGACAGGGACATATACTGACATTTTTCTGTCATAGGCTGTAGTATCCTTTATGAACTTCAAAAACCAAATTTCAAACAATTCCGGTTAATAATGACGCTAAAATCATCAAAATGACGAATATAGAGAGTTACTATTATATGGGGGCTATACGAAGACGTGGACCTGCGCAGACAATTTTCTGCCTTAGACTATGGTATCCATTACGAACTTTAAATACCAAATTTTAAAACAATTCCGGAAAATAATGTCGCTTAAATCATCGAAATACCGAATATCGGGAGGTACCGTTATATGGGGGCTAAATGAATATGTGGACCTACATGGCCCATTTTCAATACCAAAAGTCCTGCAGACATAATATACAATTCTATTCAAATTTCACACATCCCAACAGTTTTGATAATGTAATATTTGGTACCTCCCCCACACAGGGTCAATAACTTGTAGTATGTATATCTCTCATAACTTGCGAAACAAACCAGCGATTATTTTCGGACTTGTATATCTTAATAGTTCTCTCAACGAGTATATAGCTTAATTTTAATAATTAGATAAAAAATAAATAAATTTTGAAAATATTTTTAATAGTTAAAAAAAAAAATAGTAAAAAAAAAAAATGATTTAATTCTGTTTTTATTTAAAATATTTGTGCCTTACGTACTACTGAAACTAATCTAACTTAACCTAGCCGCAGCCACACAATTGTTCTTATCTATTCTAATATTGAATGGAGAACATTGCAGGGCTGCTTTACATTTCATTCAAGTGATCTTGTGCATCTACTGAGCGCATCGATATCTGTGCGTGTGGGTCATAACCTTTATTATCTCTCACATTATCGTATGCGTCAGCGCACAAGATCACCGAATTCTTCACATGTGATATTTTATGGCGGCTGGGAAATATTTAATTTTAGAACATTTATTTTTTATTTCTACATTTTCCCAGCGCCTCAATCGCACTCAAAAGTATGTACAAAGTATTTTGTACAACGAGCGATCTGGTGTGAATATGTTATATATCGGCCCATTTCTTCACGTACCTTCCCCACAAATGGCTATAATTTTGATTAACAATTATATTTGTACGTCCAGGTATTTTTGTTGCTTGTGAAGTATTTCGGTTCATTATATCTGGTACCTCACGCACATTTTCCAAAAATTAGCATAAATTGGTATACATATCAGAAGTAGGTCACATACGGAATGGATGGCTATACTCACACATGAACCGTAATTGAATGGAGGGCTATACTCAAACATGAACCTATGTTGATGATTTTTTTTAATATCCACAAATACCAAGTGCCATTTAATTCGACTGGAAAATGTTGCTACTATGATGGCAAATTTCTGAAAATCGAAGACGACTTGGAAAATTTAAAATTAAAATTTTTGTATTTTTTATAGTTTTAATCGCCAAACATATTCCATTTGGATGGAACTTAAAAATTTTCAACAAATACCGCAATATGAGGGGGTATACGAAGACGGGAGACTGCATATGTAAATTTTCATAGGCTGTGGAACCTATTAATATATTCAAATACCTAATTTGAAACAATTCCGGTGAATAGTGACGCTAACATCATAAAAATATCGAATAAAGGGAGGTAACGTCATATGTGGGCTGTGTGAAGATGGCCAAGCCTTTCGGAACCTCCCCCATGTCAGAATATATTTAAAGAAACCGACATTGGCTGAGGGTATACAACTGTCGGAAAAATCGACTGATACTGTTTTACTTGATATTTACAAATTGGATCATTTTTCGATTACCGTTGATTAAGTAATTCCCGAAAGACCGTAGCTGTGAATTTTCTACGTATATTTGATTGGATTGTGTTCGAAGAAATTGACTATTTTTATTTTTTTTCTGTATTCACATCCTTTAGCTTAAATTTATTTGTAGTTGGCGATCGTATAATTATCGGTATAACTTATACGCCATGGTGTTAAATCCATTGAAAGACATGCGGGCGTATGATTGTTATTGGTAGTCATACGTAAAAATAAACGAAAAAAATCATTATTTCAATAGACAAACAGATAACACTTTCACTCCCACTGTCTAATTTCTTTCAAGACTTGGCTAAGAACTCTCAAATTAAACCTATTATATTTGTGGGTAAATGTGTTTTCTCTACTTAGGCGGATCGCAGGGTTGGGTGGGGAAGATAAGAACGTATTTTTCTGTCACAAACAATGTGGCGGGGAATAGGCAGAGCCAAATTCTTGTAAAGGCATCAACCACCAGAGAGATGTTTGCCAGAGGATGTAATAAATTTCCTAATAACCACAGAATAAATGGATGACATTAAATTTCAATTTAAATTTGCATAAAGTAAACACGAACTTACACTCCTTTACATACATACACATAGAGACACATAAATGTAAAAGGCGGTTTTAGGAGAATATTTTTCTCTCCCACTCTAATGAAACCTCACATCCACAACGTGGCTAAATGAAATCACATGAATGTCGTAAATGTAATTAACCAAAAATACATCAACATTCATTCACAAACCATAATTTAGTTATTTATAGTTAGTTAATTGTATTTGTATTTGCTGTCGTTGTTGTTCTCATTATATTTTGTGGAAATATAGGTCGTCGTTAATTGTCTTGAAAAGGGAATTTATGTGTGTGTGTTAGTTATTGAGAAAATTATAATAATTCATTAACATCAAAGTGTCAAATTGAATCCTTGTTAATGGCAATTACTGGAAACGTGATTTGCAGATAATTTTCGAT